GTGATTTGCCTGGCGTAATTCCTGCCGCGGGGTGCATTTATAATTAAAAAAAATGAATGCAGTCTGAAAACGCGAGTTGTTTTTAAATTTTAATCGCGGGGTGGAAAAGGAAAGGAAAGAACAATCGAAACGTTCTCGCCCTCGCTGTCCATGTGTCTTCCTTCCTTTATTGAAATTTTGTATGTTAGGAAAAAAAGGTCGTTTTTATTGAAAATAAAAGATAAAATCTTCGGTGAAAACGAAATATTACAAATTTTACAGACAGGAGTTTTAGGTTTCAACATTTAATCATTAAAAAGCAATATGAAAAGAAAATTGTATCAAAAAAGTGATGTGAAAATTAAATATAGCAAAAATATTAAAAACTTTTAAAATTTTTTCAGGTGATTTCAGCTTCAGTGAGAAATAAGAATCGATTTTACATAATTTACTGAAACTTTGCGAGAGAAATTTCAATTTAAATTTGTTTATTTTTCTCCAAACAAGTCATAACAATCAATTCATTTCTCAATCAGAATTCCAACTCATAAATAACGTTAATTTGATTTTGTAGTCTTTTTGATAAATCAAAATCATTAAACAGTTCCAGTATCGATGATTAAATTTCTGAAATTAATTTAAAATTTTGTGACATATTCAATATTGTGGCCCTAAAACGGGACTGGAGTTCAGCAGCGAAGACAAAAAGGAGGGTAATTTTGATATTGAATTAATTTTATTAATTTGATTATTAAAAGTTATTTTTAAAAAACAAGTAAAAAAGTTCACAATTATAAAAATTATATTTTTGCCAGATTGTGAGAAGAAACCAAATAAGGAAATCAAATAAATAAAATAATTCATGATATTTCTCTTGAATTCGGTCGTTGAAATCATTATATGTATTTTGTCACTCGTCAACGATTTTTTTCGGCCTGCTGCGATCGAATGGCTAAAAAACGCAGCTGAGAGTGAAAATAGGGGCCAAAAATCACAATCGTATGAATCTCAGCTGCGGCGGCGGCGGCATTTTTCCTCCTATTTATTATATTAGCCGAGAGTGTGGGAACCTCCGAGTATGCACCCCGTGGACGATATATATGCAGGCTGGATCAACCCCAGCCGAACATCTGCAGCAGCACCCATATTTATCCGGCTCGCACCTGCACCACTCTCTGCCATTCATTCTCGCGCAGCCGGGCAATGAAAAGCAAAAGGGTCGCACGTTACTTGCCTCCCTATCAACTCGACAGAGAGACCAACCAATTTGCATTTAGCACTTTTCTTCCGCACTTTCAAAAGTTTCCGTTCCGTTCGACGGAGCAAATTTTGTAGATTTTTCTCTGTCTCTCTCGGGAGACGAATTTCTTGACCACTTCAAAATTCTTTTTCTCTTTTAAAATGGACACTTCTCGGTTTCAAAAGGTTAACAGGCATGAAAAAGAGTTTTTACATTTGAAAAGAATTTATGCATCTTCGCTCTTGAAATGTAACAATGAAAACCTCTCAGAAAACTCTTCAACTGTTCAATATATTTTCAAAGGTTGTCATTGTAAAATTGCTTAGCATTTGCCGGAAACGGGACTGGATTGTGAGAAAAATATTGGCAAGATTGCGGTAAAATTCTTTAAAATATCGAAAGTAGGGCATATTTTTGATAATTTTTGGTTAAAAGTTAAATATTTATTAAGTACCAATCCAGTATAATTGTTAAAATTTCATTAAAGTAGATTGAATACAAAATTAATTTAACTTGTGTAATCTGTTTTAAAGAAAAATTAATCCGGAATCGATGGTTGCAAAAAGAAAAGAATAAAAATAATAGAATAAATTTTTTTGCTCATTAAATTTTTTGCTTAAATAAAATACATATGCATGGGACGAATGTAGCGAGTCATAGAGATTAACTTAAAAATTTGAGAGCAGAAATAAATTTAAATGAAATTAAATTTCAAAAAATTCAACTTCTATCCAAAATTCCAAACATTGCGGAAGAAATCTAAATTTTAATAATATATTGATTAAAAATTCTTGCATCTTGCTCAAATCCCTAATGTTAATTTCAGTTAAATTAATTCAACTCAAATTCTTTAAAAAAATTATTATGGATTTTGCAATTTTTTAAGTTTGTCATTGAAAATAAATTAAATAATTTTATTAAATATTGTGATATTTTTAAAAAGTTTGAAGGATGCCATAATTTTATGATAATTTATATAATTTTACTTTATTAATACCCCAACTTTCATGCAGTTTTGATGTTTTTTTGCGCGTGTGTAAGGGCGTCGGTTTATGTATGAAGCATCACGTGTAGCTCTTTTATTGAGTTCATTAAAATCGTGCGCTGATGCTCAAGAGCAGCCTCGGAGCATTGCAATTATTTATCAGCCAGAGTGTTCATAGTTTGTATACCAAAGCGAAAAAGTGTACACCCTGCTCTCGGCGTCTCTCGCGACGCATGCAAGGGACAAAGGCAGCTGCCCTCGGTGCGCTGGGGTTCGTTAGCGGGACACGTGCCGCCCTTGTTCTCTCTGCGGCGGTCGTTCTCGTTAACATTTGGAAATCAAGGGAGCAATAGCAACTTGCACTTAGCGTGATTGCAATAATGCTCGGTGCGCTCGCTAATCAAACGGCCTGCGGCTAATGGAATAGAGAAAAGGAAAAGGGCGATCGATCTTCCGAAAATCTGACTCACTTCTTACAGCTCACGTGGGGAAGAAGAAAATAAAATGACAATAAGGAGTTGAATCATAATTTTTTTAAATTTAATTTGCAGTTCTTTATTAAATTTTCATATATTTATCAAGTATTATGTAAAAAAAAGTTGATGTTCTTTTGACAGTTAAATTAAAAATCATAATAATGCAATAAATTTACATTTTAAAATTTGATAAGTCCAAAAAATTTATTCCAATGTTCATTCCTAATTCAGATTAGGATTAGGGTGATTAGGGAACCCTCTTAGGCCAAAAAAATATAGTTGAAAAATGTTGATTTTTTAACTCTTAAGTATGATGAAAAAATATCAACGTTACAAAGAAATATATTTTATAAGAAAAAACATTCGAAAGGGATACTAAAAAGAATCTGCCTTTTTAAGGAATTAATTTAAATCCAAAATTTCTTTGATATTTTTGTAATTTGAAATTCGACATAAATTAATTAATTCTGTTTTATTATTTCTAACACGGACTTTCGATCAAATACAGATTTGTAATAAATGGAATTAAATTAGCCTCTCGAACAATTGCTAGTGTAGAACATCTTCATTAATCACCTTTATGTAATCCGCGCAGTAGAACGTGTGCGCGCTTAAGCAGGTTATTTAAAAATAAAAATGCTGCTTAGAAAACAATTTATTACAAAACCGGATTTGTGACGGCGGAATTTCCAGAGCGTAACGCGTGTCGTATTAATTTTCCAGCGGCGAGAGTGTGATTCTATAAATTATAATATTTTGTATTTAAATATAAACAAATTTTTTAAAATTCCTTTCTTTCTCTTTCGATCCCGGAGCAGGTGCGCTCTCTTGGATCTAAAATATTTACTCCGGCGGGTCGGTCCGGGGCGCGAATAAGCAGAACGGGGTGGATGTAAACATAATGAGGGGTGAGTGACTCTGTGAACAACCGATAAATGAGGTTCCCACGGGGGTTGAAGCTGCATTCGCGTGTCCGAGCAGCTGATCGTCGAGCCGCTGTTTTTTCCCCGACGCGTGCATTTCTCTGATTGCGCTAATTACCCCCTTTTCCCGCGAGCTCCTCTTTTTGTCGGAAAATGGCACGGGTGGAACACAAAAAAACTAGACCATCTGCGTTTTTTTGTTTTAAATGGACGTGCGCGCACACGTTCAACTGCACTCGCGGGGTTGATTAATGGATTGGTTTCTACGATTAGAGGTGTGGGAGTGTCACGCTTTTAGATCGATTAGGGTTTATTGTTATTTAAATTTGTGAGGAAATTATTGGAAAAATATTTAAAATGGAAATCAAATTAATTTTGTTGCGAAGAACATTTTTTTTTTAATAATTATACATTTTTTTTTTTAATTCTTCAAAAATAATTAGGCAACTTTCTTTCAAAATTAGCGCTGCTTATATTTTTCCTCGTAAATTTTGAAAATAATAGGTTGGGGAATCTAAAAGGAGTGGAAAATTTAAGTGTCGGAATTGTTTTAGTGCAAAAAATTATACACTTAATTAATTCCAATAATAATGAACTGCAGAATTTTAAATGTGTGCCACATGTTTCTTTTTCATTTAATTTATACACTTAAGATCAGATAATTCTGATCAGATATACAGAAGAGAAAAGAGGAAAGTTAATTACAAGTGAAATAAGTTTTGACAATTTTTGATGCCTCTCAACATAGAATTACTTTCATAAATTTTAACCAATAATTCTCGTCTCTGAAATTCTAGCTTTTAATTATATTTTAATTTGGTAATTTTGTCAAAGGTACTAGGAGCTTTTTTATGATGACAAATTTATTTAGTGTTCCTTTCAATGTATTTTTTCTTAGTTTATTATTAAAACAATGGAAGATAAACTTCAGTTTTAAAAATTATTAAGGTATCTTAACATTAAGTTGATAATTTTTATATAAAATATGACTTAAAATCTCAAACTTAAGAAAGAAGGTGTTGTTACAAATATTTCTATAATGCCCGTTTAAAGAAAACAATAATAATTAAAAATTATAAATATATAAAAGATCAATAAAAGCTAGCTCTGACAACAATTATTGGCAGCTGCGCCAACGACCGACAGTTTGGGCCGGAAAAAAATCACATGCAAAAAGAAAGGTGCCGGGCGAGGAACAAAGGGCCCAGTTGTCCCCGATCGCATACGGGGGCCGAAATTGGCGCAGCTGCCCGAAATTCGGTTCCCACAGCCGCAGCTGGCCCGCACCAAGACTGTGCTGCTACGAGGCTGAAGACCAATGGGCGGGCGGCGCGGGGCCGAGGGAGGTGGCACTATAAAGCGCGGGCCGCGCGCCGATCCAAAACATTTCCACGAGAGCGCTCGACACGAACGGGTCGAAAGGCAAAGTTGAAATTGAAGAAGGAGCAGCAAAATCAGTGCGAACATGGTGGTGATGAAGCAGCAGAGTGGTCAGGGTAGTGAGGCCTCCGTGGACCCCAGTGGCCGCGTGAACAAAGTGAAAACGCGTACGCCCGAGAACGAGGAGATCCACGTTTACCTGTCCAAGCTGAAGGAGTTGGTGCCGTACGTGCCCCGAAACCGCAAACTGTCCAAACTCGAGGTCATCCATCACGTCATCGACTACATCTGCGACCTGCAGAACGCCCTCGACACGCACCACCCCGGCCTCTCCACCGTGGCCGCGGTGGCCGCCGCCAACTCGACGGCCCCCAGCGCCGCCCCCGCCGCCCCCGGCGCGGCAGCCGCCTCCAGACAACCTCTCGGCGTCATCCCGCCCAACACCTGCACCGAACCCTCCTTGTCCTTAATGGTGAGTTCCGAATTAAATTTTTTTTCAATCCCGACCTGTAACTGGACGGCTTTCCTTTTGGGGAAATCGCGCCGCGTATGGACTTTTTGTGTCGATCCGCCAGGATGGTTTCATTTCCGATTGTTTGGCCCAGTTGCGGCTTTGCCAGGAACCGATTCGCGTTTGCAATCGAATTCTGTTAGTGAAATTTAACTTGTCCCGTTTAAAATTATTTATGATTTTGTGGTTAAAAAATAATTCAGCAATTTAATCTATTTAAGAGCTTTCAACTTTAAAAAATTTTGATGTTTGCCAAATTTATACTTTCAAATATATAATCTAAAAATTATTCCATCTCTTATAAATAATTGAGTAATATTTTCAAAATTCAATAAAAATACGGCATGTTTTATTAAATCGCATCCCATTTGTTCCATTGCAACAATATTTAATATATTTTCTGAATATTTTCTTATTCATTTTTCTCTCTCAATTTTCAAATATATTTTCAAACCACAATTTCACGCTTAGCTTGTTCAAACACGCACTGTTTTTTTCCCTTTTCCATCTGCGGTGACTTTCTTTCGAATGGAAATAAATTCCACTCGCTCGATCGCTGCTTTTTTGCCGAAAGGTGCTCCATATGCACGCAATACAGCTTCCTCCTCGACTCCCAGTCACGTCTTTTTTTCAATCTCGATTGTAATTTAACCTCAAATAGAGAAGAATAACAACAACAGAGCGGCCAGCGAGCAGCAGCCGTTAGATCAGGGCCATTTAGTTAGCAAAGAAAGAAAGAGGTAGTTTCTCAAGGAGTTTCTCTTCTCCTATTCTCTCACCAGTGATTATTATTATAACACCTGGCGTGCACTCGCACACACACACGTGTGTGTGTGTGACCAAACACAATAAAGCCTTTCAATATTGCGTTACGACACAACTTTTCTGGCTTCGTCTTCTTCTTCTCTCGATTCAGATTTTATAATTTATTATTTTTTTTATCCTCATTCGAATCTCCCCCCTTTTACTTTTGATCCCTCTCGGACCAACTCATTAAGGGGTGGATTAATTTCCCCAGAGAGCAAACCACACCCTTGTGATCAATAACTTGGACTTATGGATCTCTTTTTTCGTTTGTTTTGCAGAACCAGACGACGTCGCACAGTGAAAAGGCGTCCTCCTCGGACAACCAGATGGTCACCTGTTAAACCGCCCCTGGAGAGAATTATTTCAGCCCCATCCCTCTCTCTCAACCGACCTGACCACCTTCAGAGCATTTATTAGCGTTTAAGTTGGAGTCGAAACTACTCCCGTTCTCATTCCACATCTCTATATATGCGTTTCTGCATCAGGGACCCATATAAATGTATTTTTTATTTGCATAGACTGCTGCATGAGTTTAATAAGTTATTCGAAGAATGCCAGTTGAACAGATTTCATATATTATACTGCTTTTGGTTTTTCATCATGCGAGTGTACAAAAACCGACTAACCATTCACACACACCTTGTTTACGAGCGATGAGGAATTATTAATTGTTGCATCATTATTTATTGTTTATTGTCTGTGATGTTTTAGTTTTGTACATAATATCTCGAGTATATAATATAATTATTATAAAAATGGCATTATTGATAGTGCAATCTAATGTGTAATTAATGAACATAGATCAAGAGAAGAAAATTACCGAAGGAAAAATAATTGAGAAATGAATAGAAAAAATAAAAACACTGAAAAAAATTTTAAACATTGAAAACCTCTCGTTTAATTTTATTAGCAAAATAATCCTGGATTTTAAAAAGGGAAAATCAAGTTTAAATTATTACAAATATTTTTTCTCTTAAAAAAAATTAAAGTACTAACGTTTTTATTATTTATAATATGCAGAAAAGTAATTTTAAAAATTATTTGTTTTTGGATTAAATGGTGATTTTAGGTAATTGTAATGCTTTAATTTAACAATCAAACAACAATATTATTATCAAGCTTTTAAATTATTTAAAAGAAATGAAAACCTTTTAACTTTAAATAAATTTACATTTTTACGTTGCTGGAGTTAAAAAGCTTTTAAATGTTCGCTTGAATGGAAGGCCGAGTATATAATTGTGCAAAAATTAGTCCGAAAATTTCACTCGGGAAGACCTCGAGCCCGCATTTTCTCCCACGTGAACGTTCTCACACCCGACGGCGAGCGAGCTCTCTGTTTGTTTCGAAAACACACACCAAATGTATATTCGAGCGAGCTCTCTGTTTGTTTCGAAAACACACACCAAATGTATATTAAGGCTAAAAATTTTCATAATGCGCCAATCGTGAGAAACGAATTTTTTCATTCGTTATCTCTCTCGGAGAAAGAAACAATTTTTCACGGCGCCTGCTGCAAATTCTAGGAAAAGGAGCGATTTATGCATCCTTGGTACATCAGCTGAGTCACTTTGGAGGTTGGCGAATTATTGGCGTGTGTGCACCTTCAGATGGTCTGCAATGTGAAACAAACCTGGCGGGGCGAACGAGTGAGGTCACTCTGCGCTGGTAAGGCACAGGTGTTATCCTTGCGGGCATTCGAACAATCAGCCGGCATCGCACCTGCCTTGCTCGCTCTCCCGACAGACACTTGGTGCCGCGACCTGACAGTGAGAAAGAAAGTGGGGATGGTTCTCACCTTCAGAGATATAAGGGCGGAAGGAATTCCAATATGCCGTGATTTCAATCTGAATTGCGGTCCCTCGGGCCAATGGCAATTACTTTTTACTGTTCAAGTGCAGGTGTCCTGTTAACGTCGAAACTCTGATTTATTGCATGAGAGAGTTAATTATATTCATTTTAATGTTTGTTTATATTTAATAACAATTAAAATACTAATATAATTTTAAAATTGATTTGAATAATTGCAATTTTTGCTTTAAAAAAAGATAACGTACTTTTTTATGCATTTTTGCGTTAATCTTAATGACGTATTTAGGCTTTTCCACGAAAGGTGACTTTTAAACTCAAATTTTATTTGAAAAAAGTCCAAGGTAATGTCATTTTCCAGTAAAAAAAGTTTTTTTTAGCAAGTCATGTACTTAGATTTAAATTGAAAACGGGGTGTTTTAGTTAAAAAATCTTGCAAAATCATTTATTTAGTGTTAATTCAATTTGATTGAAATCATGAACAGTAAAAGTTGGAATAATTCGAGTTTTAATTTGAAATAAGTATATGCAAAGTCTCATTACACAGAACAATTATTTTAGAGCAAAAATTAAAAAAGAGTCGCTAATCACTTAAAAAAAATGAGTAATTTTTCAAATCCGTTGCTGCCCGCAATATTGTCAGAATTTATTTTGGAGCAAGAATTTATATAAAAAATCGGCCATATTAAAATAAAATAAAATTTTAAAGGTTAATATTTGATTAAATTTGCCTAATTTAACGTCAAATATTAGGAAAACATGAATTAATTTTTCCTTTAAAGATGAAAAATTGCGCGTTATTTATATTTTTGGTAAATTGTTGGCGCTTTTTTACAGTTCATGTTTCTCTTCTTGATGAAAGCGGTACTCGATTTCAGCAGGAAGGAAACTCAATCTGGATCAAAAACAAAAAAGTGGCGCTCACGAATGGTGATTTGCATAAAAGGCGCATAAACAGTTTTGACGCGGTCCGCTGCTTTTTCATAGATCGTTGCTCCATAATTGCGAGAGAGCAGCATTGCGCCGCGCACGCCATTCACAATGAAAAACATTCACTTCTCTCTTTTTCTTTGAGAGATAAACTATTGCACGACCTAAGGTTGCATACCCTTGTTGTTTGTCATATCAAATTCCTCCTCATTTTTTTCCCACAAAAATATATAATATATGTAATCCGTGCGTGTGAACCGCGAGAGTTGAGCTCAATTGCGGTGGTCCCGGTGACCGTCCAAATATTTACTTCCTCTTTTGGCCTTTTTCGTGTGTCGGCGCAGGTAATTGAATCAAAATCACGGAGGCAGCAAGAGAAAGAGCAGAGCGTGTAATGAAAAGCTATGATGCCGAGAGTGCATTCACGTTACGCAGCCGTGCACGCATTTTACATTTTGAATGCACACACAAACCACCTGACAATACAACAAAGTTCGAGACCCGCCGAGATGGGTTTCCTCCACCAGGGTCGTTGAAATTATTACCGTGGTATTAGATTTTTTGCTTGTTAAATGTTTATGTAATTAGGGTATGAAAAATTGGAAAATTTTACATCAACAAAAATTAAGTTAACAAAAACAGCAGCTTAAAAAAATCTATAGCTTTAAACTTGATTTACAAAGAAGTAAATTCTTTTAAAAATTGAAAGTGACTACCAACAGAAATAATGCTGTTGGAAAACCTAAAAAATGAATGAATTAATTAATTTAAAAAGTTTAATCTATTATGAAAAATATTTAAAAAATTGTGATTGGTCTATGAAAATTCCTCCACCACCTCCTATTGGCTGTTCCAATAAACCTCATCAACTTCTTTCAGTGGTACCAACTGATAGTTTTTTACTTTTATGCTACAGGTTGGGAGGTTTTGCCACAAATCAATTTCTTCTGTCCTGGCCGCTTCGAAAATGCACTTATTTCAAATTTGAAATCAAATTAAAAAATGGGGATAACTCTTTTTTTTAATCGGCTTTTAAAACTCTAACAATTATAATCAAATACTTCAAAAGCTTCTTGTCAAATTTGAATTGTTGCATGTGCGCGACTCGTTTCCTCTACCCTGGCCGGCCAAGGCACACATTCGAACACACACACCACACCTGTTTCTTGAAAATCATCTCGTCGCGTCGTGACACGGGTTGTGAGTTAGTCAAGAAGAGGAGCGAGTGTGCATGTGCACGGCGCGGCACACAAATGAAATTTTTTCTTGTTGCACACCTGGACAGATTTATAGGAGCGTGAGAAATAAAATGAATTCATAAAGCGGAGAGCTGCCCTCAGCTGTGCCGAGTGAGAAGCAGGAGATAAGCGCGGGCAGGAATTCCTTCGGAAACGAACACAGCTCTCGTAATCTTGCACGGCTATTTATTGACTAGAAGTGGAAAAATGATCTCACAATCATTGATCCGGCTGCAATATGGAATGAAAATGATGCAACAACTTGCGGTGCATGAGAAAATATGTAAAAAGGTGAAAATTGTTACACAATTTAAACCTCAAGAGAATTTAATTAAATTTTATTACAACTCTTTTGCTAAAACTGTGAATAATATATATATTTTTTTTTTAATTTTTTTTTTCACTCCAAATAAAAACCAATCTTAGCAAATTATAATTGACAAATCATTTTAGGGCTTTAAAATTTAAGCCAAAAAATTCTCTTTTTTTAATAAAAAACAATTTTTATAATTTACAGCTAATTTTGTGCTATTTCTTTTGAGGCTCTCGCAATCAACTGGCCCTTCAAGTATATAGAAGTTGTGAGCAAACAAATATACCAAATTGGAAACTGTTTGGCTTTTATATCGCAAACTCTTGCTGGCCTGCGCTCGGCACACATTCAAATAATACACATGCACACTTGAGCAAACAAATTCTGTTAGGGAACAACCCTAGCGCAGTGCAGGAAAAGAGCTATAATTAAATTATTCTGTAAGCAAACAGCTCGATATCGGAGAGGAATTGATCGCGTGTGTGTAAATAAGATCTGTATTGAGAAATTGCAAGGAGGTGAAATTTCTTCTCGATCCAATAAGTTCTGGTAATTCTATGAAATTTTAATTCAAATCTTATGATTATTTAATAGATTTAAAGTTTGAATTAAAAATATAAAAATTTTAAACTTTGAAGAATTTTACATTTCAATTTAGCTTAAGAAGTTAAAGAAAAGAAAATATAGTTTTTCGCAGCCAAAATTTCTTGTATGTAAAAGAACCATTCTTTATAAATTTAACTTGTATTTTTCTGTTTTTGTTGTTCAATTTTTAGAACACCTTTTCAACACCAACTTTTTGAAATAATTCAATTAAATCTCGTTTTTGTCAAAGGAAAGTATTAACAAAGTTTCGGCCCTAATCGAGTTTGGCCTCAAACCTGATTTTCAAAGTTTTTGTTTGCCATTGGAAATGTTTGCAAACGAAAATCGAATTAGACTGTGCGGCAACATCTGCGCGCTCCCTTGCCTTGCTCCCTTTTATCTGCGAAAGAGGCATTTCGTTTCATTAGCCAGATTGCGCCGGCCGGCGCAGTAAGTTGCTTTTAATAAAATACCTTTTTGGTTTGTCACCACGCACTGCACCCTCTGGCGTGTAAACGGAATGCAATAAAGGACGCATCCATCATCTGCATGCGCTAATCCCTGGTTGTAATCATCATTATTGCCGCGCGTAAGCCGCTCATCCTGCAACAATGCAGTCGAGTAGTCAAGCTCTCTTATTATTATGTGCCGGAGATACAGACGCAGAGCCGGTGTTTCCACCCCCGAACCACCCCTGAGAGAAAGATAAGCTACCCCATTACATATATATTCTTTTTTAATGAACGTTGAAATCCTCAAACAAACTTTGGAGCAAAATTTTAATTTATTTTTGAGAATTTCAAGCCAAATTAGGTTTTATTCGGTACAGATTTTTGTCAGAGCAAAACCTTTAAATATAGAATTCCTCACAACTTTTTAAATAGCTTTTCTAAAAAGTAAACTCTAATAATTTATAGTTTCTGGGGGTGGAGTTGAAGAACTCGAGGAATCCTCCAAAATTTGTTAGATAAAATTAAAAATTATTAAAATTAAAAAATAGGTACATTTTAA